CCGCGCTCGCCGCCAACCTGCTCGGCCCAGGATGTGGCTTCGCCTGGTGACGTCAGGCCCAGATGTTTTCCCAGGCCCCGCCCCCGCAGGGCTCTGGGCGACTCCGAGGAGCAATAACGGGGAAAGCTTATTCTACTGTCACAATGCGAGGGAAGGGCTAGAGGAACTGCCTTTTCACTTTATTGTCTTCTAGAAAACCAGCATTAACTCCTACTCCAAGCAACAAGCTGCCAGTGCTAGGATTTGCTCTTCGATTTTTCTCTTTCGTCGGACTTCCGATGCTTTTTTGATTTGGGGACAAGCTGGGTGTGATCGTCACGAACAAAGTGCATTTTTCATAGCTGTTCAGTCATCTCTTACTTCTACAAAGAGATACTAAGGAATAGGAGAGGGAAAAGTCTGCTTGCATTATCTTTTTTTGAAAGAGAGCAGTGCTTTTTTTTTTTTCCTCCTTCTTTTTTTGGATTTCTTTTTAAACTCATGAAAAATGGCAACAGCAGCATACGTGGATCATTTTGCAGCCGAGTGCCTTGTTTCTATGTCCAGTCGTGCTATTATCCATAGCCCCAAAGGGGAGTCTGATTCTCAACTTGATGGAGCAATACCAACTTCATCAAATGGAGAAGATAAGCGGGAAGTCAGAGAACCCGGGAAAGACAATGGATCATCATTATTTGTGGTAGCTAGCATTTTGGCAGATTTGAACCAGCATGTCCCAAACTCACCCGCTCTTCGGATGGAAAAAACAGAGACCTTTGATATCACAGAACAAATACACATTTCTATTGCTCCTAAGGAGTTTGGGGAAGAAAGTGTGTCTTCGGCTGGTAAGCGTGGAGGAGGAAAAGCAGCCACACCTACTACCCTGGCTGCAGTAACCGAGCCAAGCCCCAGACAAAAGAACAAACGCGGGAGAAGCTGTACTGACCCTGGATCACCTCAGAAAAAGCACAAATGCCACTATGTGGGGTGTGAAAAAGTTTATGGCAAATCTTCCCATCTTAAAGCTCATCTAAGGACCCACACAGGTTAGTTACAATACAGCCACAGATTTATTTGTTACAGCTTGGTAATTAAAATAAATATTAGAAAACAAAACAACAAACGAAAAAAAACCCAAAACAAACTGATATTTGGTCACCATTATGGGCTCATCTCTCCGAACACAAGCTCAGGAAAGCCAAACTAAATTAAAAAAAAAAAACCCTCTGGGAATAATCCCTTACTGGGCATAGATTCAAAGGTAATGTTTCTCTTTTTATTACTTAAAGTCAAGAGAATACAGTGTGGGTCATCCGCGTGGATCCTACCAAGCTGTAATCGTTAGCTGCTAGCCTTCTTGTTCAGTGCATCTTCTACTTCCCTTTCCAATGCTTCTTACCCTTCCCCCATTCACTTTTCCCTACCCTGCACTCCTGCCACTACCTCTATACGAGCTATTACTTCTAATGCAAGCAGCAGTACTCTTCGTATTTTAAAATTAAATGTTCTAGAGGTACCTGAACGAGTGTGTTTCTGTTTCTTTCTTTAGCAGACATTTGTGTGAAGCTAGGGTGGGCAGGAAGACAGCTGAGAGAGATTGAACATGAGTCACGAGGAGACATTTATCATAAGCATAGAGAGAGAAGGACATGAGCAGCCTCAGAAAGGCCTTTTGGCAGCTGGGTAAAACTGACTTCAGAAAAGTCAGTTTGCATTTGAATGCAAACACTAACTTGCTCTGATCAGCGTTACGTTGTTCACTTTTTGGTGCTCTCATCTGATCACTTTTTTGTTGCTATTGTGATTTGTGAGACACATACATAGGAAAAACAGAAGTCTTGCAAGTTCTGTCAAAGTTATGCACATTCATATTAGTAGGACCATCTTGAAACAGGCCCCATGACTCGCCAGCCCTCACGCCTCTGTGTGGTGGTGTGGAACAGGACAGCTCTCAGCCATAGAAGTAGCACCAAGAAAACTGGAGACTGATATCTGCTGGAAGCACTAGTCACAGTGTTTACTGCAAGGCAGCACAGAAGCCAGAGCAGGTTTGTGTGAGCTGTTCAACTGAGTAATTTCAGACAACAAATTAGTTTACTAAAATCTACTGTCCATTCACTTACAAAGAGAATTAAGAAAAAGACCCCCAAAATCATACATGACAAATGACTCTTGAACGGTTCTAGCTCAGAGCTGGCAGTCTCACCCACGCCCACCATAGTGCTTTAGCGCACCCAGCTTTTCCTGCTGCCTCCCTGCGATAGAGGAGGAGTCCCTCTGAACTGAGGGTACGTTTTGCTCTCTGTGGGAGAAAAGAGAGTCCCATCAAGTCTGAGCATATGGATGAACAATTCCCCGCATCACACAGCCAAGGGAACAGCATGTTCCTGGCACCCTGGGCAGCTCGCCCTGCTTTGCACTGTGCAACCGTTTTTGCTTCCTTGGGGTTGACACAGGAAAGGTGCTTCCACTTGGCTTGGAGAGAATAGGCTCCTCTAATTTTCAGCTTTTTTGCTCTGGTCTTTCACTTCTGGTCTTTGCTGTTTTCTTCAAAGTACAAGATAAGCTTGGTAATGTCTCTGGGCTCACAGACCAACTGGAAATCAAGAAGGGGAACTCCTGTCCCTGATAAAGCAAGGAGGGCTGGGCCATGCCCGCTCTGCGGGGAGAGCCGAGCCGAGCCGAGCCGAGCAGAGCGGAGGGAGGGCAGGGCAGCGAGGAGCGTTGCTCGCTGGCTGGGGCTGCCGGCTGGGCTGAGCAGAGTCATTCGGGGACGCTGGCTCGCCTCCAGGTTCTCTGTGTGGAGAGTTCTTTTTCTGTTTTTCTTAACCCTTTCCTGCATTTTTTCTAGGTCTATGAGGCTTAATATCTTTGTGCTGTGCCTAATGGCACTGAGAGAGAAGGAGAGCGTGCGCGAGAGCTAGAGGAAAGGCAGGGAAGGGACTGGGTTTGCCCTGGGAGTGGCAGGACCCTCGGGGACTAGGGCTTCTTTGTTTTCTTGTGTCTTCAGTGTCTATGTGGGAAGCTTTAAACAGAGCTGCCAAGTTTCCCTCCTTGTTGGCAACAGGTCTGTCTCTGGATTCAGTTTTAAACAGACTTAAATGCCTCTTACTCCTCCCTCAGAATGCTTTGTAACATGTTCCCACTTAAAAAAAAAAATACAAATTGTGACAGGCTCAAAAAAGAATTTTAAACTACACTAGGAGTTAAACTAACAGAGAAAGCAATGACTTCCAGGATTGGTAAATATTTGTTTTTATGAAATGCGTAATGGGTTCCACTGGTTTAGAGCAAGGGTCGTGGGTTTCCTGCTTTCCAGTGGTCATCGTATTTGGCAGATACCATCCATGCATCAGTCTCCCCACCTTTCAAATAGGGGACAGCTGTCCACCTCACCAGGCAGTGCTGAAAGTAGCCCAGCAGCACATGGACGGTGCTTTAAACAGTTTTCCCAGTAACTTCTAAGCCTGATTACTAAGAAACAATCCAAGAATTCTGCTATGGAGCAAAACTTCTTCCACATGCTGTATGACTAGACCTGCTGGTATTCAGGGGCAAACAGAAAGCTAAGAACAGCACTTCAGGCTAGAAGATACCCCTGATAGCACTAGAGAGATATTTGTATAGTGCAGTTTAGAACCTGCTTGCGAAACTTGCTTGTCCTTGTCTGCTGCTGTGCTCAGAAATTAAAGGCTTCGCTCTTCATGCTTGGAGGAAGGGCAGACTAAATGGTTGAGGTTATGATGTGACAAGGAGCTACAGAGCCTTTCAAGTACTGCTGGGTCAAATCCAGCCCACATTGGTAGGGACTGAAAGCTGGTACTATCTTCTGACTGTTTGATGCCCTCGTGAAATCCGTTCTAGTGGCTTCAGCCAGTTTTCAGGGCACACATGTCCAAGGCAAAGACACTAGTGCAGAGGATGTTGATTATCATATTTCAAGCAGAAGGAACAAGATGGATGGGCAGGGAGGCAGCATCTGCCTCTTGTCCTTAGGTCTCACCCGGAGCACAGCGTTTTAGCATGAAGTTCTCCACTGGAAGGGAGAGTGATCCATAGTTTCTCGTATGTTATACACTAGCAGTGAAGCTTTCTCAACCTTGTGACTGCTTCATCTTTATTAACTTGACAAACTGTAGATCCAGGCAGAAAACATTAGTCACTAAAATCTTTGCAGTGCTCTCCACCAGCCTTGAAACCTAGGGGGAGGGGAAGGGTTTGTTTTTGTATTTATATTCTCCACCACACCCTCTCACTGGATGTCCTGGAGTTTAACATGATCATCAGCCATAAAGCCCTTGAAGTCTTAATGTTTACCAGAAGGTTATATTTAGTGTTAGTGGGTAGATTTCATGTCCAATTTTTTTTCCATGGAGATTCCTGTGGACCTCAGAAGCCGTGCTGTGATCCACAGATGCAGCACTCCATTTGTCCCGAGTTATAGTGATCCCATTGATGCAGAAATCTCACAGGCATCCCAGTTTTAAAAATCCCCTCCACTCCTGAAGAAGATCCCTAAACGTTCAGATTTTTTTCAGATTCCTGACTGCAGAAAATCAGACAAAGCATTTACATGACTAAGTCCTCCTTCCCCTCAAGCAGATGTTCAGTACAGGCTCACTGGAAAGGTTTGAAAACTCTCTGGAGTCACTGGAAACCAGTTTGTCTCCTTTGATGCACCAGTGGGAGGAGAGAGTCATTGCAGAGCCTAATTACTGTCTAGTGGCCAGAGCCTCATACGTATAGATATGCTTTAGGTATCTGTTGTTCATTTTAGTATAATGGTTATTTATCAAACATTAACTGAATTGGAATAGGTAGAAAAGATTGCTTGACTCATTTCCATTCACTCATTTGATTTCACTGAATCTCAATAAACATTTTTAAGGGCAACAGTAATGAACTAATATAAAAGTCAACTTTTAATTTACGTACTGTTTCTTCTTAAGCGTTATACCTCGTTTTCACTAAGTATATTTTTTCTAATGACTTTATGACTAGGCTACATGAAGATAGAGAAATTCATGATGTATTTGAAGCAAATTTCTGAGACATAAAGCAATCAGACCTCACTCTGAGAAGTGTGACAACAGCTTAATGATTAGGCTTGACAAACTGGAATGATTTTTCCAACCTAAACACAGATCAAATAAGAGGACTTTAGATGAAGTATGGATAAGGTGTTTTAACAGAATGATTTTCACTTTCAGTTCCAGCAAGTCTGTTTTGCTCTGACTACATTAATTCAGAACACAGGGGGAAGGCATGACTTCTTTGAAGTTGGCTGAATCCGTGTGCATACAGACAAATTGATTAACTGGGGTAAGGAGAAGCAAGCTCATATGTCAGTGAAAAAATTATATCTTAGATTTTAGCGCCTCAAAATTATCAGAAACTTAGCTCAGGTTTCCTTTAGCTTGCCTGTAGACACATAGCAACCGCAGAAGCATGAGTGCATGTAGCAGGGGGTAGGGTCTGTGAAGAGCCAAACCTTTGGCAAGCAAGTGCTGCAATAGCAGAAACTTGATATAATACCTTCTGTGCCACCCACGAGAGCAGGCGAACACAGGGCCACAGACTGCCCATGTGCAGAGCGGGGTGAAACAGGTGGGAGCCACTGATCCAGTCCGTGCTCTGAGCTGCCAGCTGGGCTGCTCTGGGCACCAGGACTGAATGCAAAGCTGCCCGCCCACAGAACAGGAGGCCACAGGGAACAGGAAAGGCCACGGCCTGTAGCCAGTGCCAGCTTCCCTGAGGCAGGAGCACACACTAGTCGAAGCGACTCTGGCCCTCTGCATATTGCTAGCTTCCCCCAATCTCAGTTCCAGAAGCTGGCCCTGCTGCTATTGACTTCTTGTGCTAGAAGGCAGAAACCACTGGCTGGCTCTGCACACCTAATCTACTGCCAATAGCGTACATCCAGATTATCAAAAAGCTCCAGGGTGCTTCTAGGTCACTGTGTGCCATAGTGCTCTTTTACTGCTTTCTACCTCCCCTCCTTGCCAAGTGCGTCAAAATCTTTCCTCTAACTAGTCTTCCTTTGAGA